CATATTAATTTGGAAAATCTTGCAAAAATAAAAATAATTGTCAGATGTTAATGAAACTTTCAGAAACTATTCACAGATGATCGAAATTATTATAAATATTTTTTTTTTATTAAAGTCATGGCAGAAATATTTTTTTTATATTTATTAACACCCCCATAACTAATTTTATGAAAAACTCTAGAAATTCGAGACCATCGGTTTTAGTGATTACAATAGTTAAAAGCACAAGGCTTTGAAGAATGCAAATCATGTTTTTTTTTTTTTTTTTTTTTTTTTTTGGCCAACGTACCTGAAAATCAGCTGTGAATTGTAACATACAAAACACAATAAAACAAATATATTATTTAGTTTCAAATGCTTTTATTTGTTTTAATTTTTTTTTATGAATATGGACAATATTTTCTGAAAGCAAAAAATTTTTTCAATGAAAATTGAATTTTTAATACAATTATTTCTTATTTCTTTAATTTTAAAAAGATTTTTAAAAAATGTTTAAATTGAATTTTAAAAAATATTTTAACATTAGTTAAAAGCAACATCAACCTTTCAAAATGTCCGTGTGAGATTGTCATTGTCTCTAGCGCTTTGAAAATTGTATAATTTGGACCAATCAGATTAGCCATGGTAATTAAGAAATGTAATTTTGTGTTTATAGTCGGACAGTAATTATCAAGTACGGAAGACCAACCAGAATACAATTTAGTTGCATTATTTGAATTCAGCATTGTTCTCCGCTGTTAAGCCCTTTACTTTTGCGAAACACGTATGGAGAAGTTAATTTGAGTTCTCAATTTCAACTGAGAAGGGTACCTACAAGTAACAGTATCATCTTATGAAATTTAACTACTGCTAAACTTTAATTTATATGATCTTATTTTTATATTAATCTCAGTTATGACATTTTTCCATAAATGAAATATCAAAATTAATAATAAAATAAATGGAAATACAAATAACACAGTAAAATGTAATAGATCTACATAAAATTATAGTATTTTATGTACACTTCTGATAAAATTTCATGAGAAAGGTACCTAAATTAATTAGATACCTTTTTCTTATGAAATTTAATCTCACTATTAACAGTCTTATTTTTTAATTTCTTTATATTTTCCATAAAGTATCGTAAACGTAAAAATGAAAGCTAAGTACAAAAAAAAAATTAAAAAAAAAAAAAATTAAAAATTAGAGCGCTGAAAGTTTTCCTTAAAAGTAACAAGGTAAATAATTTGTTCACTTAAATAATTTCACTTCCTTCCATCCGTAGAAAGAATTCTCCTCCCGTAAGTTATCTAAACGTCATGAATGTGCCTTTCGTCAATCATCAAGCGACTGCTTTGTTTTATTTTCAAATTACATTTTTTCGGCGCAGAAGCTAAGTTATGCTTGGTTCAAAATATTTTAAATAAACAGTATAATTTCTGTTTTTATTAAAATCAGTTTTGAAAAAATGATAATTGATTTTTAAAAGAATATCAAAGTAAGATTTTAATCTTTTTTATCAAATCGAAAAAAATGATTGAAAATGATTGATTATCTGCCCTTTTTTTTGACCAAAAAAAAACAATATTTTTAACGAAAATTTCAGACGTACTAGGAACGATTAAAAAATGTAAAAAAATACCCCCCAAATACTTTGATCTTTCCTCTTTAATAATAACATGAACATTAGACGATAAAATTTTGTTTTCGTCAAGTTCGGCTTTTTTTTTCATCATGCTATGCTCTTTTGTTTACATTTTCGTGGGGGAGTTGTCCCCCTTTCATTCTCACGATGTGTCTTAATCGTGTTTTCAAATTTATTTTATTAAAAAACAACTGTATTTTTCCCATTTTCGGCCCCGTTAGAACCACCACAAGGTAATTTTATGTAGTCCCGTGAAGTTTTGTTGAAATCGGCTAAAAAATGTAGGAAATTCGATCCAACATAAAAACGTTACAGACACACACACACACACAGAATCTGCGTTTTATAATAAGTAAGATTTAAAATCGGCCCAAATGATTGGAACGTCCTATACAAGGCCTAAGAACCACTCGATGTAGAGGGTTACAGAATAAGAAGCACAGTTTCTGAGGATATGTGGGGAATATAACAGCTGACCCTAGACTTGAACAGGCCTAGACTGTAGTCATCGGGGAAGCATCCTCTTGGGAGTCACTTACACATAGCAGCGGTTCGTGGGAAGAAGCTGCACGAGTAGAACTTACATCTCACCAATAGAATACAAAAAGAATGAGGGTGCTTCACTGAAATGGACGTGGCATAGTGGGTCTTAGCAGGAAAGATTCGAACTGGTGGGACTAAGGAATGTATTTCGTCTGAACATTTTCCATGGAAATAGCGATAGAGTAGCAAGAGATTTACGACGTTTCGTCTGGAAAGCGAGAATAATTTACTAAGCATCTACTGCAAGAAGATATAATCTAGGGTTGTGGACTATGAATTGCAGGAACTGAAATCAAGCAAATACAAACATTTAATTATCTAGGAACTGTTATAAGGGATGTAGAAAAATGCGACACCGAAATCTGAAGATGAATTGCAATAGCGAAAGATGCCTTCCCAAAGCTCAACAAAGTAATAAGAAACAGGAAAATCTCGTTAAAAGCAAACGAAAAGGGTACTGAACTTTTCTGCAAATGACGTCATATATTATGAAATGGACAAAGTCTGACAATTATTTAAGACATTATTTTATGTTTTTATGGATACAAATATTTAAGTGAATGCTCTGTTTATAATAAACAGTATTAAACATGTGTTTAAATTTGGATACGCATTGAGCAGATATGAATGAATGAGAGAAAATCATGGAGAATTGTGTTTAAAAAAAGTAAAATCGACCTTGCTAACCGAACGCTCCTCTGTGGCCTAATCGGTAAGGAACGTCAGGCTATATGACGGTTCATATTTCTATGAAAATTTCTCGGATATTCAGGCCGGTTAATACTGTTTATTATAAAAAGTGCATTTACTTAAATATTTGTATCTATAAAAAGAACGTATAAACATAAAAAATGTCTTATATATGTATACACACATATTTAAATATATATATATATGAAGAAATATAGTCTTAAGATGTGCTATATTTATGGGATAAAGTGGTCAATATCAGAGATAGAGCGTGTGTAAATATAAAAGTGAACATAAGTGTCAACACTTAGAGGCGACTGTCTGTTTCATCTAGATGCAACAGTCAGGCCTGCCGATTGCATCTGCATATGTTCACTTTATAATTTACACACACACACACACACACACACACATATATATATATATATATATATATATATATATATATATATATATATATATATATATATATTAAAACAATAAGAAAGAACAGTCAGATTTATAACCCAGAGTAATTATTATTTATTTTTACTAAAAAAATAAAACAGTGCTCAATACAACAGTAGAGCATAATATTTTAATTATATTTTTAAAAATATGTTTCCATCGCGACACAGAAATTTCTATGTTTCAAAACTGAAACTTCAATTCCAAATTTAATTTAAAAATTAAACTTAAAATCCAGCGTTTCGTTCTATTTTCAAGCGATGCTATGATTTTTAGCATTACTTGAAAATGTATGTATATTCAGTTGTATGTGATCCTGGGTTTCACGCTTTTGCTATCATCAGACAAACTGGTTTATTTTTAAAATTGGATCTATTTATGCTTGTTTGACTGTGTTTGGTGGTGGGTGGGGGAATTTACTTCTGTGCTTGTTTGGGGTGACACTCACATACACATAAATACACATACATACTATACAGGTGTACGCATTTTAGTTCACACAAACACATCCATATAAGCAATTCAAGGCTAGGTGCAAATAAACATCCATATGTTCGGGCATACATACATACACACACAGGATCAAAAACTCATATCTATAAAGCTGAATATGCTAGCTCTATCACTAATATTGAGCGCTTTCAACTAAGTACTGCGCATATAATATATATTACAAATAACTTACACTACCCATGAATTTTAATTTCATTTTTCGTTTCATTTCATTTTTGGCAGTGCTATCTGATGATCCGACGTCCTTTAAAAAGGGCTCTGGTGAAATAAATTATTATAATGGTACCTTAAAGTGGTCTGTCTTTTTTAAAATATATATATATATATATATATATATATATATATATATATATATATATATATATATATATATGACGTCACACATTATGAAATGGACAAAGTCCGAGAATTATTTTAAGACATTTTTATGTTTATACATTCTTTTTAAAGATACAAATATTTAAGTAAATGCTCTGTTTATAATAAATATAATTCAGGCCGGTAAATGTTGTTTAATACATTTCATTGAATACGCCTGACAAGGAAGATTGAATGGGAAAATGTTAGGATGCTGAAAATACTTAATAAAAATTAATTCAATCTTCCTTGTCGGCTGTATTCAATGAAAAGCGTTTAAAAGAAAGGGTGCTGTCAAAATAAACATTAATATTATATAGATACAAATATGTAAGTAAATTCTCTGCTTATAATAAACAGTATAAGCAACATTTACTGGCCTGAATGTCTGAGAAATTTCATAGAAAATATGCGTCCTACGACAGAAATCGAACCTGCATCCAACACGTAATTGCCATATAGCCTGAAGTGCTATAACATTTAGCTACGAAGGAAGTGTTTAGTTAGAAAGGTTGAATTACTGCTTTTAAATTACAAATTTCCCATGATCTTTCTCGAACGCTCATATCTGCTCGAAGCGTATCTTAAAGTAAACAAAGTCCGACAATTATTTTAATTTATTTTTTGTTTATACCTTACTGTTATAGATACAAATATTTAAGTGAATGCTCTGTTTATAATTTTATAGTATTAACAACATTTACTGGCCTGAATGTCCGAGAAGTTTCATAGAAAATATGTGACATCCGACAGGAATCGAACCTGTATCCTATACGGAACCGTCAGATAGCCTCACTTAAATATGTATGTCTATATAAATAACGTATAACAATATATATATAGATAGATAGATAGATAGATAGATAGATAGATAGATAGATAGATAGATAGATAGATAGATAGATATTTGAATGAGCAGCTATCATATTATATCATAAAGAATTTATACAAAAAATTAATTAGCAATGTTAATGAGATTAATGGCGAAATCACTTCGCTAACAAAACTTAATGAGACATTAACTTACTATCAACGCCTTGAATAATACGATCCTTATATTTGAGTTGTTGTATCTTTTGTGTTGTCAAATGGAAATGACGAGCCTAGTACTTTCGACAATTTAAAATTGTTATCGTCAGTGCGCATTTTTTTTTTCCTATTTACAGGCAAAACACCAAGACGAAATATGTGTAGTGCAGACAAAAGATGTTTTTTGAAATAAGCTATTTATTAACAGATATATTATTTTGGAGCATGCAACGCTAGAGTTCTTGTTCAAATCAATAAAGTGAGAAATTAGTTTTAATTTTGTGATATGATAAACCCATAAAATTTTGTTGTTATATATGTTTTCGGTTAAAATAACATGGTCTTTAGTATAATCAAAATAATATTGTAAAATGTCTTAGTATTTTTTCACAGAATTTAAGATTTTGAACTTACGTACTACGGATCTTATTTTCGTAAATATATTAGAATGTGCAGCTTTTATATTATATCAAAAAGAATTTATACAAAGAATTAATTGGCAATATTGATGAGATTAATGGTGAAATTATTTCGCTAACAACACTTAATGAGACATTAATTTACTATCAATTCCTTGAATAATATGAGTTGTTGCATATTTGAGTTGTAGTGAGATAGAATTGACGAGCCTAGTTTTAAATTTTACAGTTACTCATACAAGAAAGAAAGAAAGAACGAAAGAAAGAAAGAAAGAAAGAAAAGTTTTGAAGTTAAAATGGAAAGAAATAAAGAATATTACGGTGTATGTGACAAAGAAAGAAATAAAAAGAAAGAAAGAAAGAAAGAAAGAAAGAAAGAAAGAAAGAAAGAAAGAATATTGTGAAAGAAAGAAAGAAAGAAAGAAAGAAAGAAAGAAAGAAATAAATAAAGAAAGAAAGAAAAAAGAAAGAAAGAAAGAAAGAAAGAAAGAAAGAAAGAAAGAAAGAAAGAAAGAAAGAAAGAAAGAAAGAAAGAAAGAAAGAAAGAAAGAAAGAAAGAAAGAAAGAAAGAAAGAATAATACGATGGGAATTACAGAAAGGAATTAAATAAAGATAGGAAAAAAGAAAGAAAAGAAAAGAAAACTATTTCGACGGAAAATACAGAAAGAAAGAAAGAAAGAAAGAAAGAAAGAAAGAAAGAAAGAAAGAAAGAAAGAAAGAAAGAAAAGTTTTGAAGTTAGAATGAAAAGAAATAAAGAATATTACAGTGTATGCGACAAAAAAGAAAGAAAGAATATTATGAAAGAAAGAAAGAAAGAAAGAAAGAAAGAAAGAAAGAAAGAAAGAAAGTGGTATTATGGTCGGAGAACAAACTTGAAATACTAACATGTCATGATGGCGTTGACATGTTGCAGCGGGGCAGCCATTGTCTGGCATTGATAACTTTATCCTGGTTCGTCCCAGCTGTGTAAACACGTGTCACACTTCAGCGAAGCTACACACACACACGTTCCAGCATGCACACAGCTACACACACATACATACACGTGTACATTTTTACAGACGCACATACACGAGCACACGCATACATCCATACTTAGAAATGCACATGACTGTTCACCAAGGTACAGAGATGTACATACATGTACACAAAACTACAAAGGTACAGAGCCGACATACACATAAACATATGCATGTATAGTCAGAGAGAAGTGCCTACTTGCTGGATGGCTGGGGTACGGACATACTGAAATTAATCCTGTATAATACGCATTCGCGTATAATATTCGCCACTCAGGCCATGAAATTCTGGAAAAAAAAAACATGTTTATAATGTGCACTGACTTAGATATAAATTTAAACTTTTTTCAACTGTTTATTGGGTTCGTATTGACTAAAAATAAAGGTTTATATTTTTAACTTGTACATTAAAATCTATGGAAACATATTTTGCCATCATTAACTGTGTATAATACGCATTAAATGTTTAGAATTTGTAGGAGATAAATTTATCTAAATTTAGCATTTAAAAAAATTTTCCACTTTGTATTGACTAAAAATTAAATTTATACTGTTTATATTTATATAGTTTACGGAAATATATTAAAACTATTGCCATTATTCCGTTTGTATTTGTATAGTCTATGAAAAATCGATTTTGCCATCATTACTCGCAATGTCTTTTGAGAATTTGTAACAACTAAATTCAACCTAAATTTTACATTTGTTAAACATTTTACCCAGTTCGTACTAACTAAAATGAAGAAGGTATAGTGTTTACATTTATACAGTTTAATAAACGCTATGAAAAATCGATTTTGCCATCATTACTGGTGTGTAATGTGGCTTTTCGGAATTTGTAGAACGAAACGTAACCTAAATTTAACATTTGTTAATCTATTTTACCCGGTTCTTATTGACTAAAAATAAATAATTATCTTTTATAGATTATTGGAATCGATGAAAATCGAACTCACCAAAGCTACAAAGAAACATTACGAGTTCTAATGCCCCTTAAGAAACTGTGTTATTGATCAAAGTAAACTCACAAATAATTACATTGGTCATACTACTACATGCCTATCTAGACGACTTACGTTACATCTACCTGACCATAGCTTGATTAGGACATTTAAACACACACAAAACCTACCCAAATCCACCCGAAACATAATAGTAGAGAATAAAAATATAATAGCCTCATCCACATATAAAAACGATTAAAATAATGAAAGCCCAAAAAATAAAATAGGAAAAGCGCTCAATAACATTATGAACATGGCCATAATTTGCTGACCGTGTTCAGAAAATAAACTATAACTATGACCTTAAACGCATACATAAACAATCTCACACAGTTAGCTAAAAGTAAAAAATAAAAAATGCCCTTGATAAGGGTTAAAAGAATAGCCGAAAGCGATCAGATAAGCAAAAATTTTAGACAGTTTTTACACACTTTGTGTCCAGAAAAGAAAACACTGGTACGAACACAAGAAAAATTAAATAAAAAGTTTAAACTCAGTACCTTTAATTAAACATGTATAAAAGAGGGTCTAAATGCGCAATATACATCTATATAGATAGATAGATAGATAGATAGATAGATAGATAGATCATCCATAGACAGACATTCGCTGTGTCACAGCTCTTAAGTGTGGCTAGACGTCCGATTGCTTCAAGCTGAAATCGAAACCCGACCGATTTGGCATCAGCCTACTACTAGGCTATCGTCGCACGGCAGAGAAAAAGGGAAACTTTAGCGTTTTCTATACGAAATACGCCGGTAGCCCAGAGAGCCACTGTTTTTAAAATTACCCTTTTCTCCAGAGAGCTCAACCGGATTTCCCGAGAAATATATATATAGTCATCCACAGACAGACTGTTTCGCTGTATCACAGCTCTTCAGTGTGGCTAGACGACCGATTTGGCGTCAGTCAGAGAACCCTAGGCTATCCTCTCACGGTAAAATGGGAAATTTTAACGTTTTCTACACGAAGACTCCAATTCATACTTGAAGAGCAATGCGTTAATAGCAGTAGGAGTCACTGTTTTTAAAATTACTCTTTCTCCAGAGAGCTCAACCGGGTTTCCCGAAAGCATATATATATAGTCATCCACAGACAGACTGTTTCGCTGTATCACAGCTCTTCACACACACACACACACACACACACACACACACACACACACACACACACACACACACACACATATATATATATATGGGGGGGCACCTCGAGGCGGTGTAATGGTTAGCAAGCTTGTCTTGCTAGAACAATTACGACTGAGTAGTGAGTTCGATCCTCACTGGGTGCCCCATAATCTTATTAAAATAAAAAATTAAAACTGATCCACAAAAGAGAGCTCAATATATTTATTATAGTGCATATAAGTGAATTACAAAAATTAAACTCAAATTACCCCATTCAAATGGTCATTTCGTCCCCAGGAGATTCTCCCTGTTACTTGTCAATGCAAATACAATAGAATATATATATATATATATATATATATATATATATATATATATATATAGTCTAGCGTGAATCAGCCTGTCGCCTCTAAGTGTTGACTTCAATGTTCACTTTTATATTTACACTCGCTCTATCTCTGATATTGAGCACTTTATCCCATAAATATAACACATCTTCAGATATATATATATATATATATATATATATATATATATATATATATATATATAACGAAGGCTGGACTACGTATACAAACAACAAATTCCCCGGAACAATGAGTCCCACTTCATTGTTTATTTTCGAAAATTCCGAGTTTAAATTTTTTCTCTTCGTGCGTAGGTTTAGTCAAAAGTCCTACTAATGTAAAATAAATATCATCAGTCTTGTATATATATAGAGAGAGAGAGCGAGATAATATTAGTGGTCAAAATATATATGAAGAAATATAGTCTTAAGGTGTGCTATATTTATGGGATAAAGTGCTCAATATCAGAGATAGAGCATATGTAAATATAAAAGTGGACATTAAAGTCAACACTTAGTGGCAACAGGCTGTTTCATGCTAGACGCAATCGTCAGGCCACGAGTGTTCTATTTTTCTTCTCGGCTATTCTGTTGCCTCTAAGTGATGACTTCAATGTCCACTTTATATATATATATATATATATATATATATATATATATATATATATATATATATATAATTCTTTATTTTAAAAAATTTATAACATAAATATGTTATAAAATAACTACAAAAATAGCCATTTTGTTTCAACACTCTCAGTGTCTTATCAAGTGATGATGATGAATGTAAAATAAATGGTTTTAAAAGTTTCGAATTAATTAACAATCCTTCACAAGGGGAAAACGTTGTTACAAAAGCTAGATGGACCAATCAAAATACAAGTATAGGAAAATTCAAAAAGCTTGACAACGAAGTCATGTTATAATAGCTATTCAAATATTTAAAATATGGGTAGTATTAAAAAAGAATTTATTCTAATCAATAATTACTAGATTATATGATAAAGTTTAATATTAAAATTAAAAACTGCTAATTTCGAGATCAAAATTTAATCGCTATTAAGTTTACTGAGGAGAAAAGAAGAAATATATATGTTATTCAATTTATTTCTTCATTGAAGTTACTTTAGCTAATTTTATATCCGGTCCTTTGACAATGTATCCATTTTAATCCTAAGAGTGTGTGAATGGGGTCCTAAACACACGCGTAAAACAAACGCAGTCAGATTATAATATCTAAGCACCCAAACATATTTAAATATATATACACACACAAAAAAGGAGACGAGACAGAGAACATCACCACGATCGTATAAAAAAAAAAAAAAAAAGGGAAGGGTGGGGGAAGGGAAAGAAACCAACGCACACGTACATACATACACTATTAAAAGTGAATGCACTTTCGATACACATAGACAATAATAAATACATGCACACACATCCACATACATTGACCCAGACAATCGGATACAACAACCAATAAATATTTAAGATTGAAAACATCATGACATAAATGCTCATCATTTACCGAAATATAACTTAAGCGAGCAAATATACAGAGATAAAAATGATGAAAAAAAAAATATATTTTTTAATATATTAAAATAGTGTATGTAAATCTAAAAATATAAAATCGGACGTGAAAGTCAACACCCATAGGTAACTTCGATGTCCACCTCACACACATACCTATACATATACATATATATATATATACACACACATACACACACACACATATATATATATACATACATACATATATACATATACATACACATATATGTGCATATACATACATACACACACAAATAAACACATATATACATATACATATAATAATTTTCTTTACATACACACACACACACAAATATATATATATATATATATATATATATATATATATATATATATATATATACCCATACACACATACATATACACAGAAATACACAAATAAATATATAAACATATACATATGTATATATCTCGATGATAATAAGTACACATACATATATACACATATATACCCCACAATTATACACCCATATATGTACACATACTTACATGTAAATACATATATAAACACAGCAATATACAAATATAAACATATATACACACATAAATCATATACTTGGGTATATATATATATATATATATATATATATATATATATATATATATATATATATGGGCAAATATTGAACCCTAAACAAAATCAAAACACTAGGAAAGTATAAAATCTATTCTTATAATAAAAATACTAGTACAGTAGAATCGCTCATAACCAGAATCCCTCATATCCGGACATGATTTTCATGTGTATATTTGAAGTATTTGGGTGATATGTAACTGATTTGAAATTTCTGTTTTTCAGGAAATTTAATTTGGACAATTGCTTATGCTTATTTCACCCTAATGGCTTGTATTGTTGCAAAAGATGATGGGAATAAGAGGAAAGGATGACAAGGAGACACATCTGCAACAAGATAGCGACGAGATGTATGATTGTGATGAAACCTGGACTGAAATTGAAAAAGCTATTGAAAAGGTGGTCAGTTTTATGGAAAGAAAGCCAGCATTCAGCTATGACGATTGCAATAACGCACGCAGAGTTAAAACGTGTCTTTCTTTTAAAAATCTTGAAAAGAAAAATCAAAACTAAATTCGGAAAAGTTGAGAATGATATTAGAAGAGAATGAATCATCAAGCAACAGCGATTAAAAAAATCCTCGTTACATTATTTGTGTTACATACGTGGCAGACTTAATTTAATGAATTTTCATTAACATTACATAATTTAATTCTTTTTCCTTAAAATCAATTCCGTTATATTTCACTCACCAATAGCTTATTTTGTTTACTATAAAATATTGAAAGTAAATGTTAAACCTGATTTCAGTTCTTTTATTTTAATTTTTTAATATTACCTCTCATATCCGGACTTTGTAACCAATTCCTAATATCCGGAAGGTCTTCTTAGTCCGGTTCTACTGTAATATATTTTTACTGAAATATTGGCAACAGTATATTTTATCTACAAATATTTCCATGGCAACTATCCCGACTACATAAATTGAAATGTGGTACCAAATTGGTAATTAGTTCTTTTACTGCTGCACTAGCTAAATGCAAACACCACTTTGACTCTTTTCCCGCAATTCCCACCTACGGAAATCCATTCTGATTTCTTTCTTTCATGATAATTACAATCTCCAAAAATGTAAATGCAACGTCAATCGTCATCATCTGGCTTTTTGAACCTTGTTTATTTTTGTCCTTTCCTCGATCTTCCCCATTCTTAGTCGTTCTCTTTCACTTTCACTTTCATTTTCAATCCCTGTAACCTCCAGCCTTCCTTGAGGTGAAATGATTAAAAACAAAATATATATCTATAAAACATATGTTTTCCTTGAAAGTGTAAAATGATATACAACATATCTGCAGCTGAAGACATAAAATTGTGCTAAAAATATTTAGATTTTGACATGAAATAACTCACAGATGTTGATATGCGGCTAAACAAAATCAATCAAACACGATAAAAATCGATTTTCAAGTGCCAACATTAAACTTAGGAAATTTGGGGAAAGGACATTATCATTTGTTTTGAGCTAAAGACATGAGAAATAAATAAAGTGTGAAAACAGAGAGAGACTATGAAAAAGAACAAAAAAGAAAGAAAGAAAGACAAAAGAACGAAAGAAAAGATGAAACATAGAAAGAAAGAAAGAAAGAAAGAAAGAAAGAAAGAAAGAAAGAAAGAAAAGGTAAGGAAGAAGATGAAACATCATTAAAAAGAAAAAAGAAAGAAAAGGGAAAAAGAATGAAAGAATATGAAACAGAAAGAAAGAAAGAAAGAAAGAAAGAAAGAAAGAAAGAAAGAAAGAAAGAAAGAAAAAAGAAAGAAAAAGGTAAGGGAGAAGATGAAACATCAGTAAAAAGAAAAAGAAAGAAAAGGGGAAAAGAATGAAAGAATATGAAACATAAAGAAAGAAAGAAAGAACGAAAGAAAGAAAGACAAAAGAATAAAAGAAAGAAGATGAAACAGCAACAGAAAGAAAGAAAGAAGAGGAAACATCAACAAAAAGAAAGAAAGAAAGAAAGAAAGAAATGTAAAAACGGAAACAGAACAAAGACAATTAATATAGGGAAATCCAATAAAGAAAGAAAGAAAGAGAGAGAGAGAGAGAGAGAGAGAGAGAAAGAAACAGAACAGAGAAAGAAAGAGTCAAAGAATGTCATGGTGACAGGTATCAGATTGTAGCCTGCAGAGGTCAGGTGTTAAATTGTATCGCAGGTGCTTTCTCTATAGCGATTATTGATCGTAACTCGGGAGGTTAACGGACATCCCGTCGTCGTTGCAGCAATGATGGGGTGGGTCGGGAGCGCTTTGAAGCGAAGAGAGGAGCAAAAAAAAAAAAAAAAAAACAGTCGAAAACACCGGACATCCGGCCTGTCCACTTTAATCCCCTATCCCCCAAATCATACCTTCCACCCCGAGCCCCAGCCGAAAGAACACAGTTCAAGAATCTGACCGGATAATGACGATGAATGGACCGACAAGCCGGGTACCGGCAGCTTCGTCAACCGCCCACTCATTCCTCGAGGTGTCCACAAGAAAATCGCCCATTGCCTTGCTCAACCAAAAGTGCGTCGTCTCGTTGTTAAGGAATGACTGGTGGGGGTGGACTTGTGGGGGTCAGCACCTGTCCTGATTTTTTTTTCCGTTTCAGAATATTTGCCGAATACCTTATACCATGCACCAGCGAAGCACAACTTTTTTTTTCTTTTTTTGTCTTGACTCCAGTATATCATGTCAGGCACAAGGTCATTAAGAAAAACAAAATTTTCCTGACATTTTTGCAATTTACGAAGCAATTCATTTCCCCACAGATATAATATAGTTTCCCTGTGCCTTTTTCTATAAATACTTTCATGGTAACTGTTCTGGTAAACTTTCCTCTGTGGTACTTAGGCTGTATCCATTGAAGCGCAGTACTAGATTGGCGGTAAGGTCTCATCGTTTTACAGTTGAAATGACTAGAGGTGACCGTAAGTTCTATGCTAATGGTTTCTTCTTTCGCACTGTTCGCTTGAGGGACTCGCTTCCGGCATTTTGCTTCCCTGTCAGTTTTGACCTTCAAAAATTTAAACGCAATATCAATTGTTATCTTCTGTTTTCTTATTTTCTTTTTTTTCTATTCTTAATAGTATTTTCCCACTATTTTCAGTAGCCCCTTGCATCTTAGTGGCTTTATTGCCTTGCTTGGAGGTGTCTAATTAGCTCTGGACTGGTTAAGCATCTCAGCTTGTATTCTCTTTCTTTCAGATAAGCAATAAAGCTTCCGTAGCTCAACTGCTGATGTCTTAACGTTTATTCCTGAAAGAATCTACCAAGCTTTAGATAAGAATGGTGAAGCTTGGGCTGTTGCTTTGTATATCTCAAAGGCAGTTGACAGGATTTACTATCCTGGTATTCTTCACAAGATGAAAGGGTACGGTATTTACGGAATGATTTTTTTAGTCTTATTTAGTTTTTCTTAACAACTCCGACCCAACCTTTCATTGTCGAAACAGTTAAACGTAACCGCCTCTTCCACTCCAACAGCTTCTCCTCTCGCACTTCCCAACAGTGGAACTCTCTTCCTAAAACTAAATTTTTTTTTTTTTTTTAAGCATTGTGCCCCAAGCAAGGCGTGAAGTCACTAGGATGCAGGGGGTTGCGGAAGATTTGGAGCGAGAGCAGATAAGAGTGATAGGAGAAAGGAAGAGGAGAAGGATAGTGGGTAGATCAAGGTAATTGGAGATGTCGATTGACATTACATTTGAATAGTTGGAGATTATAGCTTTCAGGGAAACAGTAATTGGGGAGAGTGTTCCACTGGCGAGAGGTGCGAGGTATGAAGCTATTGGAGTAGAAGAGACGGCTACATTTGAAGGTTTCTACGGTGTAAGGGTGAGAGCGGGATGCCAGCCTCGTAGGGCGCTTGAATTCATGGAGTCTGGGAACCAGAGAGAGCAGTGGTAACACCAAGGATAGTGACCCATTGCATTTTCTTGGATGCAGATTTTGCGCTGATATGGAAGGATTATATTGCATCTTCTGCTATTTCTGCTGCTCGGGAATTTGGTTCACCGGGTCGCGCTAGAATTTTTTTTTTTCGCGCCAGAATCTATCTGACATATTTATAAGTGTACATTTCATCCATGCTTTGGATATTGCTGCCACAGATCGTTAGGTGTTCCTACTATATATTTAGAGACTCCAGATAAAATCCAAAGACTCTGCAATGTTATTGATCTTGACCTGGCATCTCGTCTTCAGTTATTTTGTCACCGCCGTAACGTACCTTCTTTGTGCTTTTTCTATAAATACTTTCATGGTAATTGTTCCCGTTGACTGTCCCCTATGGTAGCTACGTTTTATTGACTCTATAGTAGTCAGAGTTTATGAATTTAGACTTTAGATAAGAATGGTGATGCTCAGGCTGTTACTTTAAATATCTCGAAGGCAGTTGACAGTATTAACTATCCTAGTCTTCTTCACAAGTTGAAAGGTTATGGTATTTATTGAATGATTTTTTTTAAGTCTTAATCAGTTTTTCTTAACAATACCGACCCAACCTTTCACTGTCAAAACAGTTAAATATAACCGCTTATTCTACTCCAGCAGTTTCTTCTCTCACACTTCCTGACAGTGGAACTCCTTTCCTCTTAATTGTTTTCCTGATATCTATAATCTTCAAATATTCAAGTGTAATGTCAATCAACATCCTCTGAGGCCTTGATCTTGATCCCCATTCTTCTCTTTATCCTTTCCTCAAACACCCCCTCTTTACTTTTACTCTTGCTCTCACTCTCTGTAACGCCCTGCGTGCTAGAGGCACTCCCACCTTGCTTGGGGTGAAATGCTTAAAAAATAAAATAAAAATAAATTGTATTTTAATGCCTCCACAGCCAAAACTGCTCACTTTTAATCGTCTTAGAGGACACTTATTTGCCTTCCATCAGAACGGTTGATGCTAACCTCCAGAGGAGTGACTCTTTGCATCTTCTTGGATTCAGATTTTGCGCTGATATGAAGTGGGGGGATTATATTCCATTATTTGCTATGTTTGCTGCTCTGAAAATTGTTTCACTGTTTAGTGCTAGACATTTTTTTTTCTCGACAGAATCTCTCTGACATATTTGTCGTCCATGCTTTGAATATTGCTGCCACAGATGGTTAGGTGTTCCTACTATATATTTAAAGACTCCCGATAAAATTCAAAGGAGAATCTGCAATGTTATTGATCTTGACCTGGCATCTCGTCTTCAGTTATTTTGTCACCGCCGTAACGTACCTCCTTTGTGTCTCTATGGTAGCTAGATTTCATGAACTCTGTTAGTTAGACTTGATGAATTTAAACTTTAGATAAGAATGGGGAAGCTAGAACTGTTACTTTGGATATCTCGAAGGCAGTTGACAAGGTTTACTATCCTGGTCTTCTTCACAAGTTGAAAGGTTATGGTATTTATTGAATGATTTTTTCTTTTTTTTTAGTCATATTTAGTTTTTCTTGACAAATGACATTTTAACGCCTCCACAAAGAGAACTGCTTTTCATCGTCTCAGAGGACATTTATTTGCCTTCCATCAGAACGGCTGATGCTAACATCTATTGCACCTTCTGGGATTCATATTATTTTGAAGGAAAGAAAAGCAGGACAGAGCTGCAAAGTATAGGATGTAGAGAGCCACTGTCTGGAAGGGAAGAAGAAGAAGAAGAAGAAGAAGAAGAAGAAGAAGAAGAAGAATCACGAAGAAGAATCACGAAGAAGAATCACGAAGAAGCCAGTGGAAGGAGAAGAAACAAAAAACAAGAAGAGCTGCTTGGAAATTTGGTTCGCCGGGTCGCACTAGACATTTTTTCTCGACAGAATCTATCTGACATCTTTATAAGTCTACCCTTCGTCCATGCTTTGAATATTGCTGCCACATTGCTATCACATCTAGTCTGGGGCTTCTGCTATGTATTTAGAAATTCTTGATAAAATCGAAAAAAGAATCTGCAATATTATCGGTCCTGACCTGACATTTCAGCACCAGTTACTTTTCTACCACTGTATTGTAGCTTTTTTTTGTGTGTGTGTGTTTTTTTTTTCTATATTATCATGGTAATTGTTTTGATGAGCTTTCCTCCTTGGTAGCTTGCCTTTATGGATTTAAGAGCTGTACTGGATTGGCGGCAAGGTTTCATCATTTTAAAGTTTAAGCTGCAAGATTTTACTGAAAGTTCTATGCGAACCAGAATCTATCTGACACGTTTATAAGTCTACCGTTCGTCCATGCATTTAATATTGCTACCAGATCTGGCTTGGTGCTTCTGCTATATATTTAGAGATTCTTGATAAAATCCAAAGAAGAAACTAATATCTCCACTCCCGTTACGTTCTCACAACCGTAACGTACTTTTTCTATATTTTCATTGTAATTCATCTGATGAGCTTTTCTTCTATATCAACTTAAGTGCAGTACTAGATTGGTGGCAAGGTCTCATCATTTTAGAGCTGAAATGGCTAAATGTAACCGTAAGTTCTATGTTAACAGTTTCTTCTCTCGCACTTTTCGCTTCTCGAAATCTCTTCCTGCTTCTTAATTTCCAGTCAAATTTGATCTTCAAAAATTTAAATGTACTGTCAATCGTTATCTTTTGTCTTCTGAATACCGGTTCTTTTATTCTCCTCTCGCCTGAATAACGTTTTTTGTCTCAAATGCTCTCCCACTCAGTAACCCCTTGCGTCTTAGTGACATTGTTACCTTTCTTGGGATGGAATTATTAAAAAAAAAAAAGATGAAGCGGCGACTTAAGACAACAGAGTTGTGGTTCTACAGAAGGATGCTGAGAATATCATCTACGGAGCATGTGAGCAGTGAGGAAGTTTTAAAGAAT